ACATTTTCGGGTACCCAATCACACCCTAATCAAAGATTGGTGGTGACTCCTCGAACCACGTTTTCATCATTAACCATTCATCAAAAATTATTTCGAAACAATACCCCATTTTTTCTCCCTTTCGAAAAAATCGTTTCGACAACTGTAAAGTAATAGGTTTCCGAAATTACAAGTATCAATACTTTATATATGGGTATAGATACTTTGTTGTGGGCAAATTGTTTGATATCCATACTAGAATAAAAGTATTGATATGGATAAAAAAGTATCAGAATTAAATATTTTCATACTTTGCATACATTGTTTTGAAATTATAAAAAATGATACTTTAATAATGTGTATCGATACTTACAAGCATGTTGTAATAAAAGTATCGATACCGGCAAAAAAAGTATCCATATTTACAGAAAACGTGTATAGAATTATAATCAATGTATTGATATTTACATTAGTGGTATCGATACGTCCAATTTAATTTATTGAATTTGGTGCTTATTAATTATACATACCTAAATATGTATCAAATAAATAAATGTTGTACCTACCCTTCAACTACCACCTCCTAATATAATTGAACTTTACTAAAACAAGCATACTTTTCTCGTACTTTTGAACCATTATTTATAGACCACACTGCATCAGACGATGTTGGCCATGAAGTACTTACTGTTGATGAATCTGAAAAGATTAGTTGGTCAGCTCTTCTCTTCACGTGAGGAGGCTTGGGACTTTTACAAGGAATACGCACAAAAACAAGGTTTTAGTGCACGTTCGAGAATAACACGCCTTGATAGGGAAGGGAATGTGAAGACACAAGAATTTTGTTGTTTAAAAGAAGGGTTTCGTTCATCAAAAGTCAATACTTTTGATCGTCAACATGCTCATACGCCAGTCAAAATAATCAGATGCAAGAAAAAAGTCTTTGTAACAACAACAAATACAAACGATCAATGGGTTCTAAGTAAGTCTTTTCAAGAACATAATCATGCATTATGCACAATTGTTATGACACCATTTATGCGTTTAAATAGTGATGTGAGTAAGACTGATGTGGATGAGGCAACAACATTGAAAGATGTTGGTGTTGGGACATCACAAGTAATGAATTATTTCACGCATCAGGCAGGGGGTTATAACAATATTGGATTTACACATAAAGACCTCTACAATGTACTTTAAAGAGGTAAAGCAAAGGAGATCGTCAATGGCGATGTCAATGCACTAATTGCTTACTTTAATTATAAGAAACAAGATGATACTGGGTTTTTTATGACATAATCAATAGATGAATCAAGGGTATTGCATAATCTTATTTGGGCTGATTCAACATCGAGATCAGATTACACGTGTTTTTGTAATGTAATTGCGTTTGATACAACATACAAAGATAATTTGTATGGTCGACCAATTATGCCTATTGTTGGTGTCAATCATCACCATAGCACAATAGTATTTGTTATTGCCATCATCGCTTACGGAACGTCCCAATCTTTCGAGTAAGAGCTCAAATTATTTTTACAAGGAATGATGAATAAATCATATCTTTCAGTTGTCAATGATGGGGATAGGGCAATACAGAGGGCTATCAAATCTATTATCCCTTTTGCTAAGAACAAATTATGTTCTTGGCATCTTTCTTGCAATGCACAAGCTAACATTAGTGACCGTAAATTTACAACAACATTTTCTACATGCATGGCTTCCTGGTGGATAACAATTGAATTTGATATTCAATGGCGTTCAATTATTTCAGAATTCAATGTCAAAAAGCATCCATGGGTTATTGAGAAGATAAATACTCGACACTTATGGGTAAAAACATATCTAACTGGTCATTTCTTTGCTAATATTCGCTCTATATAAAGGTATGGGTCTATGAATGCTTCACTCGCGATTGCACTAAAAAACATAAATATATATTTAGATGTTGTTCGTGCAATTGAAGAAGGAATTAGTAAAATGCATATCAACGAGTTGAAAGCGGATTACTTAAGTTTCCAGACAAAGCCCTTACAGACCACAAAACAGATTGACCTACAAACACTACTAGAAAAAACCCCTTTAATGACGCGCATTGCGAGTCATCTATGGGTGTAGATGACACACAAATGACTGTCGTTGAAGCCACCGACATGAATTTTTGATGACACGCAATTGTGTTTCATAAATCTATAACACGCATTTATAACGCTCATTGCACGTCATTAAAGCCTCCGTCATAAATGATGATGACACACATTTGTGTGTCATAAATTGCGTGTCATTAAAGCCCCCGTCATAAATGAAGATGACACACATTTGTATGACTTATATTCGTGTGTCGTGATTGTATTTCATAAATTATATATATATATATTGTAGATTGAAAAATAATCAAATTAAATCACATTTAATGCCTCATAATACTAAATATATATATCATATTATATATTATAAGTAATCCATTTGTATACAATATATTCACACTACAAACAGTTTACAATAAACGATTAGTCAAAGAAAACAAAGAAAATATGACATTGAGAAAGAACATATAACCATTATTATAAGTTAATAAACAAACATTGAAAGTTACAAATCTTCTTAAATGAATTCAACAATAGTCTTAGTTCACATAAAATTAGTTACTGCTTCCTGCTCGGATTAGCCATGAGTTGTACCATCTATGTTGCACAAAGAAGAATTGAAACCAAAGCCTATGACTCTCCACCAAATGCATCTAATGTCTAGGTAAGTAGCATTGACTTTACCTTGCAGCAGATGCATCGCCATCACTCAACTGTCCCTGCTGGTCGCCCTCCTATTCACCCCTCATAGTTCGTAGCACAAATTGTTTAGCTTTACGCCGTTGATTGTTGAAGAGGCCCCTAATGGAAGTAACAAATCCATCACCAGCGCCATCATCTGAACGCTTAGGAAAGGCTCTTTTCTGATCAGAAGCTTGGTCATTGTCAAGGAGATGGAATTCACCATCAGGAGCAGCAGTTGTAGTTGGCTGTTGACTGTGTCCCTTGTCTTTGAATTTCTTGACTTACTAAAATGTCAAATAATTAACATGAATATAAGTTCAGCATGGGTATATTCAATTTTTTTATAAGTTTCTTTATATAATCCCACACACATATAATATGTGATGGTAGTAGATGCTTTAAGAAAATGAAGAAACCGAACAACTATTATCATAGTTTATTGTAAAATTAAGCATTAGAAATTTCCATGTCCTAATCCAACAAATAGAAGGGAGACAAGACTGTTATGTTCTAAGTAAGAGAAGATTCATAGTATGGAGATTTTAAGGTCGGTTTATAAGAGTATATCCCTTACAGACTTCAGGACTCCCTTACCTCCCTCAGATTCCTTTAATGCTTAGTTGACTGCTACAGTAACATTCATGCTTTTCTTTGCCCTTCTTGCACCAGCTATTGTTGAGACCTTCCAAACTTCCTGCATTTCCTAGGTTCCAACCATAAAGAACATCACCAATTATAGTGTCTAGGTAAGTTAGTTGCATGACAGTCATACCTTGAAAACACGGACAAGGAAAAATCAATGATTTCAGAGAATGCCATATGAATCATTGTCAACGTCATAGGAAACGAGAAATTGAAGTACTTGGGATACAACACCCACTGCAACCTCATGAGAAGTGAATTAATAAAGCTTGATCAGTTATGGACTTTTGTTGCATGATATTGTAAAGAGAGAATCATTTATTGCAGCAATGTTTTCCTGAAGCTATTTGTTCATTTTCTCTTTATCAAGAAAGGGAGAGAGAAGGATAATCTTTACCTGATTTCCCCCTTCTTGAAGAGCGGTAACCTCTTCAGAAGTGAACTTAGCCATAGATATTGATTTAACTCTGTGTGTGAACTCTCGACTGGAAACAATTAAAACTGGTAGCCAGTTTAGAAAATTTATTGACGTCTGACTATTATCAAATGCATTCTCTTAGATATAAGCTAATCAGCAGTCGATATGTCAAGAAAACCCAACTTGCAAACCAAATTGAACACTTACTGTATTCCACTACAGGTGGTGCAAACAAATGTCCAGAAACTTGTGCAAATATATTGAGGCCCCTGTTCAGTTGACAATTAGCAAATATCAACAATATGACAAAGAAAGTATAAGCACTCCAAAATCTACGCATACAAATAAAAATCACATTCAGTTTAGCATAAGGAAAATGCTACAAAAATATATTTCAACAGCAAAATCACCAGAAGCAAAATGTCAGGAGGATATTCAAACAAATATTTATGGAACAAATAGAACTTCTCAAAAGGTTTAATAGTAAAGATTCCAAAATTATGAAAACTTTAATCAGGTTTTCTGTTTATGAAAAACTAATTAAGTAGTCAAACACATACATCCTATCTCACTAGACATAATCTTAGCAGCCTAGCTTATTTTCCGTTTTTCCTTTTGCTTATTTCCATACCAAACTGTTGCAGTTAATACATTTACGATTCTCCGGTTGTTTGAGAAGACCCCAAATTATTTGCTCATTCTTCTCATCTTCCTTTACTCGACTCGCCATCGCCGCTTACTAAATGAAAATAAGCAAAAGGAAAAACGAAAAATCAACAAAAATAAAAAACAAAAAATAGATATGAATTTTCTCCAAATCATCATTAATCACAAGCAGACAAAAAAAATCCCAATCAAATTAACTCCAAATTTGCTTATTCGACACTATTATCATTTCAATAAAAATTGATTAAAAAATAGCTTCACTACAATGCAAAGCAAAATGAAGCAATCTAAACTACAAATCATCATTTTCTTGTGATAGTTAAGATCTAAACTAGAGTCCTCCATAACGATGAAGCAATATAAGATAACCTCACAAAGGGCATGCCATTATCACAAAGCACTCATCAAAATCTTGATGTGAACTAGCAAAACTCACAACCCAGATATGATTCTCTAATCCTCGAGCAATTTTATAGTTAACAAATCAGATCGAATGATTGTATTTCCTTCTTTCTAATAGTTCATCAACTTGCAGCTAGAAACCTTTGCAGTGTACCATCATCGACCGCAACTCTGAGATCTAAATAGTCAGAAAGAAATAAGAAAAATGAAATCAATATATATATATATATATATATATATATATGTCTAATATCTAGAAAAACAAATACTATGGAGACAAAGTAGCCAACCATCAGAGCCTTCAATATGCTTGCCATTCACAAACACTTGTGGAACAGTGCTTCGACCTATCAAATCCAGAAGGACATATTGGATTTTACCTCTATCGTCTAAAACAAAAACTCAACAAGTCAACACTTCATCTAAAATTACTCTTTTTCTACTCACACACACACACAAACAATAAACGAATCAGAAGCAGATGAATAATATCCAAATAGATACCTCGGAGATCAAGCTCTACAACATAAGGTTTCTCATTTAGCTCACTAAAAATCTGCATGGCACGAAGGCAATACCTACGAACAAGATAAAAGCGAATGAATTAGGAGCAGTCCATCATATTATCTAATTACAAAACCCCCAAGAATTGAAGTTTCAATTATACTTTTGAAGAAATACCCATGAAGTCAAAAAGTCGAAAAAAGATTGATTACGCTATCCTAATTCTAAATCGTGAACATTGAAAGGTTGAAACGAAACTGTAAATGTAAAAGAAATGGAGAAAAATGGCATACGGGCAATAGGATTTAGAGAACATAACGATCTTTTTGGAGAAGAAAATGTTTTGGAGAGAGGGAAAAATGAAAAAAGAGAAAAAGAGGGAAGAAGCGACATGAACTAATAATTATCGAGGGGAAGAAGCGGGAAATGATGAAAATAATGGGGGGAAATTAGAATACGACTCCTAAAGATGACACACAATTAAAAGTGTACTCTGTGTTTTTGTAAATTTTTTGGATTATGACTATTAAATATGACACACATTATTGTAAGTGATAAATCGTTCAGATTTTAAAAAACATAACATTTTATGAGACACATGTTTTACAAGACATAAATTAGCGTGTGTCGTCGTTCGTGTGTCATTAAAGGTATATTTTCTTGTAGTGAAAGTTATGTTGCTGAAATTTATACGCGCGAGTCATTTCGTTTGTTCCAAGAAGAACTTCAATGTGAGACCTTGTACCAGCTTCAGGAACAGATTCAGTCCTCATCAGATGAATTTCAAAATTATATTTTGACAAAGTAAAAAAACAACAAGAGATTTGAAATTAGTTTTGATGTCGGTACGAAAATCCTAACATGCTCGTGTACAAAATTTGATACCGTAGGAATTCTATGTCGCCATCAACTTCACGTTTTGAAGCACTTGGATTACACATCTATTCCTAAGTATTTGATTCTAAGTAGGTGGACTAAGGATGCGAAGGCTTGTGCACCAAGTTTTGTTAACTTGCATGTACCCCCAGAAGTTATGCAAATGGCACGATTCACTTCTCTACGTGCAACGTCAAGTCGTTTATGCTATATTGCATCAAAGACATATGTATCTTTCATAACCTCAAAAGATTAGATGAAAAGACTAACAGCTGAATTTGAACACACATTTGGTTTGAAAGATTTAGTTAACTGAAGCAATGTCATAAAAAACATTCATCACCCTAAAAGAAAACAAGGAAATAGAAAAAAAGTACAAAAGAATAAGGTTGAGAAGAAAATTAGGCAATGTGTGTTATGCAACAGTAAGGGACATAACAAACTAACATGCCCTCAAGTTAAGCTCAGTTTGGAAACAAGCACACATCCTACATCAACAGATTTTTTTGAAGACGAAATGGAATGGTCGTACGGTCCCGTAAATAATGACAATGATGTGAGTTGCTATCTCTATTTTACTATGATGTCTTCAATTTTCAATGCTCATTTATAATTTCAATCTGTCTATTACATTTCAGAACAACGAAAACATTTGGAATACTGCAAGTACTGATATATATATATATATCATAAATATTATAACACCCGATATTTATAATAAACATGTACAACAATCTATTGTTAACTTTGGTCATCACATACATAATTTCATTCACATACAAAATTTGGCTTACATCATCATATATGTTTTTCCATGTGTCTCATGCAAGCAATTGTTAACGCATCTCTCATTTTATTTTGATCGTGGCTTATGATATCGTTTAATATTCTAATATGATCTCAATCTCCAATAACCTATATTCAAATTGTCAATATGTTAACCACATTATTCAATCTACGACCTTTAACATTTAAACTGCAAAGTAAATTTTCATTCCACTTACCAAATCATCCGTTGACCCTCTAGCAACGATCCCTTCCATCCGCATCATCACATAAATGCCGCAATCATGTATGTTAAAAAAAATTAATACCACAAATGTCAAATATGAAACCATTATAAATTGTGCATTCAATTTATTCTCAAATTTCATACCCATTCAATTGTGCATTAATTTTATGCTCCACAAAGTTGAAACCATTCAATGCGACCTTCAGCTGCCCACATGCATTTACAAATATCTCTTCCTTATTATATTTATCTAATACGGTCACCTGCGTGAAAAATATCCAGTTATATTAAAAACAAATTATGCAATATAAATTATTGTTTCCTTTCATACATACTAATTTCCTCGCATCTTGCAATCTCTTTTTGGCACTTGGTATTGTAAATAGACTATCATAAACCATTGCAACACGAGAAGCCATATCCAACACCAACAAATACCAATGGATCTGACTGTCGTTTATTTTAATAAAGATCTACAATAAATGTCACACCCAATTTAACAAAATACAACATTTCTTTATAAATATTTAAATACAAAACACCATTTGCAAATCATATGGTATCTTATTGTGTCACAATTGGTTAATTTTGAATAGTCTTTCAATATACACTCCCAAAAGCCCGCAACATTATCAACATGTGGCTTGTGATCTAACACCATTGTCTGTATTTCCTCGACAATCATTATTAATTGACAATCCATAACACTACTTTTCAACATTTATTAATTTAACTCACCGCAAACTTGTATGGAAGGTAGGCAATCTTTTGCTTCCCCGATATCTTCTTCAAATCGTTAACCATCACCCAACCGACCAAATCAATAACCTAACAAAATTAACTACACAATTACAATATATTCACTAGGTTTTAACAATTTATATTTTCTGCTTACCAGACCGCTAGCCCATGTCATAGGTTTTAAAGTTGCAACGTCAGATATTGTAGCGAATTGGTTTCCCAACTGGATTACAATTTCGCTGTATAATAAATTTGGATTAATGTTTTGTCATGAAATATTTAAATATCACTCACAAAGCAATATATATTATTGACCTCAATGGTAACCCACTATTCCATAAATATTCACACATTCCACTTGCAATGCACCAATTTCTTTTTACATTTTCACTTTTTCAACCTACAATTTTGATTACAAATATAAGTCAACACACAATAATAAAAATCAAATTCATTTTTCTTTTATTCATCTTACATTATGTTTCTTCTTCTTCTTATGTCAGGACATTCTGAGTCCATGTCAGCATTGATTACATTTTTCGGTGTCAGCATAACATTAACATCCTTCGTCCTCACCGCATCCAACTTTTGTTCTTCATCATTTTTAAATTCATCATATTTTTCCTCCACATAACTCTTCATCATATCTTTTATTTCAGCCCTCATTTTTCACCTTCATCGATTTTTTTTCAACTTCTCCCATCACCACTTAAATTCACCCCTTAATTCCACCACTTCTTTCACCACTCCGTTAATTTTTCGACCCACTTCCCCCTTAAGGCTGTCAATTGCCTATTTGATTCTAGATTGTCTTTTCAAACAATCAGAAATGGCTTTTTTAGCTTCGCAAACTCATACATCAAAATGTCAAATTTACTTATACTCCCCTGACCATAATCCCCTACTACATTCTCTTCTACCTTTTCTTCTTCCTTATCTTCTTCCTCCTCTTCTTCCTCCTCTTCTTCCTCTTCCCCATTGCCAATAACCTTCAAAATGAACTTACTACATTAATACATTTTTTATAATATGAATATTATATAATTACTTTTATTGCCCTTTCTTACTTGTTCAGTCCTTCCAACCTCAATTTTGCCATCACTCGAACTACTTCTTCCTTTCCCCATGCACGGATATGTGCCACTCTAGTTCTTTGGAATGCCGACACACTTGCACAATCGACCAAAAATCAAATAATACAACCTGCATTTATAATGGAATTTATCTTTTTCTATAATAACTATACTTAAAAGTTTTCTAACCCAACACATCCTTCATCTCATTTACCTCTAAGATTGCTCTACACCCTTTGAGGTATGTCTAACTTCAGCCCTTCTGAAAGCTAATTATTGATTCAATCAATTTTTCATGGACATATTCAACCCCATTTAATTTATCTTTCAACCCTTCGTGGCAAATCAACTTGATATTGTTCACCCGTTGGACAAAAAAAAGATTTTGATAATGTACAATAGTAGTCGGGCCTTCACTTATCCCCTTCATAAGCTTCACTTTTAATTTTCTCATCAAGTCCAGCATATGTCACCTTGGTCTCTAAAACATGTTTCTTGGCATGTGCTTTCCAGTTCTTCGTTTTAATAACTTCTTCAATAATATTACTTTTATCTTCTAGCCCCAATACGGCTATAACACATGGGACCCCCCCAGAGGAAATGAATAATCACCATATTGAACTCTACATTTTTCTACATCAAATTCCTCCAACAACGATCCCACAATTCCCTCCGAATTGGTCGATCCCTCACTCCTATCAAATATTGAAACCCATTTCTTCCAGCACATGAACTTTATTCTTCTCCTTCAAGTGTTCAATTATGGAGTTCACTCTTTTGATGCTACACCTTATCGATACTTCTTACACTTAAAAAAAAATATAATGTTACTTTTTTATATATAGTTTATCACAATATTTACAAGTTTAATGAATACCTTCTTTTCATGTGATTTCCTCCAAGTTTTATATTGTTGTCTATCCTTTCTAGACAGTGTCATATACGGTTCCTTCTCAACATCACTCTTCGACTTCCATTTCTCCAACACCTCATGTTTCACCTGAAATTAATAAAAAAATGTTTCTTAATCAATAAATCAACTGTAAATAATACTCAATTTCAATTTCAGTTTACATACCGAACCGATGTTATAATTACCATCTTCCTTCATCCTTTGGCATTCAGTCATACTGTCAAGATTTGAAATTTTTAATCAATTTAAAGTTCTTAAATACTTTAATCCCATTACTACTTCAAAAAAATTACACAAATACATTGATACTTACTAGAATTTCATATATCCACCCAGTGGTTGCTTTCGATTTTCTTCATGGTTGATACTCTCGAGCTCAATTTCAATGTCATCTTCACGAACAACAATTGCAAGATCCATTGACTTCATTTTTCCTTCATATATCAGTTTATTAACATTCAAGCATTAAATTAAATTAAATCAAATCAAATACAAGTTATATACAATTTATTCAATATAGAAGTATCGATAACTAATCCTATAGTAATCGGGTTTCCTTCAAAGGAATGGGAATACTCTCTACTACAAGTATCAGTACCTTTATACAACCTACAATATCAGTTTCTACCTATAATATTATATAAAAGTTTCGATATTTATTTTCTAGCTAGAATATCACTTTCTACCTATAATTAATCCCAAATCCTTCATTACTTCAAAAACCCCAAACCCATGAACCTAACCCCTATTTTTGAATAATGCAATACTAAAAAACTAGGGTTTCGACAACATATATTTCGATTCGATTGCAGCAACAAACAAACAACTACGCTTTAAAAAACGCCTTGTTTCTATTTCATAGCAACTAATACACTTCGATTTCAAAAACTACGGTCATATTCTATCTATTTATCTATTAGCAATGCCTTTGATATTTTAACCGATTATGTTATTTATATTTAATCGATATCATTACCCAAGTCTCGATACTTTTATGTAAGGTATCGATACTTTCGAGACATTTTCATTTTTGCATTTCTTTTCAATTCTTAAAGTATCGTCAACATATCCAATAGCACTTTACCGGTTTTTTCATATTGAAACTGGTTTTGTCATATTGAAACTGGTTTTGTCAAATTTCAACATGTTATATTGTTATATATCTATACATGTGTCTAAGGTATCGATACTTTATAGGCGCTATTATTGCAATTCTTTTAAATTCCTAAAGTATCGATACTTTGGTGCATGTACTTATAAAAGTATTGATATAAATGTCAACCATTCCGGTATCTCTTTATCGGTTTTGTCAAAATGAAATCGATTTTGTCAAACTTCAACCTGTTATATTGTCATGTATCGATACATGTATGTAATGTATCAAAACTTTCGAGATATTTTCCTTTTTTATTTCTTTTAAATTCCTACAGTATCGATACTTTGGTACATATACTTATAAACGCATCGATACAAATTTCAACAATTTTGGTAGCTCTTTATCGGTTTTCTCAAATTGAAATCGGTTTTGTCAAATTTCAACCAGTTTTGTCAATTTCCAATCGGTTTTGTCAAATTCGTTACATGTTTTGTCAAATTGAAACCGGATATTCCAAATTTCAAACTATTATATTGTCATGTATCGATACATATGTGTAAGGTATCGATACTTTATAGGCACTTTTATTGCAATTCTTTTAAATTACTAAAGTACTAATACTTTTATACATATACTTATAAAGGTATCGATACATGTCTACTTTTAACCGGTTTTCATCACTTCCTTATATATTACTACGTATATCGATACTTCTGTGCATGGTATTGGTACCTATCAATAAGTTAAGTTTGTCGGTTGCCAAAATTTTTAACATTTCTTCATATTTTCTACCTACAACATTATTATTAATTAACATTTCCGGTAGTGCTAAACCGACATTGTTAAGTATCTTATTAAATTTCTTGTCACATCATTTCTTAGCCGTATATTAGTCCGTCTTTCTTGAGCCAAACCCCTAAAACGACCTAAGACAACAGAGAATGAAAGGCTTTGCAAAGTTCTTTTTGACATCTTTGTATGAGGATGTTACAAAACAAAAAGAAGACATTTTCCATCAATGAGCTTTTCTCAACCATCAGATGGAGCCACACATTTAGAAATCAACGGGAGAAAGGTTTCTCCCTTCCACCTCGTTTCACATGCAAGGCAAAAAAGCATCAAAGAATTAGAGATGGGTCATTTTTTTTATTTTTGGGGTTATATATATACAAAAAAAAGAAAGAAAAAAAAAATTCAAAAAAATACCTAGAGGGAAAAAACTAGCAAAAAAGATCAAAAACCATACCTTTTTTTACGGTCACTTTTACTTCATCGGAGGAAGGAGAACCCTGACATCAATCGGAGGTAACCCCTTTCTTTGTAAAGTTAGGCTTTGGTCGAGAGTTTGAGAGCCATTAGGGTGGTTCCATTTTTTGTGTTTCCTTCAGTCCTCTACAATATTAGAGAAAGTGAGAGAGAAGGGGGTTTGTTTTGTGAATAAGCGACATCTGGGATGATATTAAAATGGGGCTAGGTTTTTTAAACCTCATTTAGAGGCTTTAATTCAGTGCCTCCAATAGTGTCGTTTTTATCTAGGTTTGGGGTGGCTTGTTGTCATGTTGTGGTCTTATTATGTAAGGGCTCCCCCACTCTTAGTTTAAATGCAACTTAGTCCTCATTTTAGAGGGTTTTGTTTTTTTAATTTTGCCTTTGATTTTATCCATGTTACATTTTAGTCCTGACCTGCCTTTGTATATTCGTTCTGGGTTTATTTTGCCTTCAGTCCTCTTTTTCTGGTCTTGTTATACCATGTTCTCTCATGTTTGTGCTCATTCGAATTTGTCTCCATTCATTGGAATTTGCTTAGTAGATATGCTTTGCGATTGTTGCTTTAGATTTTATTTTCAATAAATTTTAATATATATTCCATTTTTGTTATTTGCGTGGGTGTATTTTAAATTTCGTATTTATTTTGATTTGGCCTTGTTCTTCATTTACTGTACAGTTTATTATCTTTTGTATATTTGGTTTTTGATTTCGTTCATCATTTGATTTAGTCTTATGTTCAGCCCTGATTTAGAACTTGTTACAAGTGTTTTACACTCTCGTCATTACAATCCCCTTTATATCTATATATTATTCTTATTTATATTTACTAAATATGTTGTGTATATCGTACAACTTTACTGTATATATGAATGAATATATTAAGCGTGATTTGTTTTGCCATATAGATGTTAAGTGCATATTCTCTTCGTGTATAACATATTTATATATATTAAATATTTCTACGTACATGTAGATATTTTCTTTTATTTTAATATCAAAAGGCATTTGTTTTAAGTATATTTAGTCATATGATATTCTTTTAATTAATATGTATGATACCCTCATAAATCATAACTTCACTTTATTAAATAATTGGATAAAGGGTAATACATTTTGATTTTATGATTGTTGTGAAATGATTGGCTTAAGGCATAATAAAGTTATTTCTAATAATTTTAAAATTAAGGGGTATCTCGTTAAGTGAAACCCTAAAAAATGCTTTCACCTAAAAATTTGGGAACGAGAGAAAAAAATCTTCATATATTTAAATTTTTCGAGAAAAGATCATTAGAACTTATAAAAAGTCTTATCTCGATGTCTTTAAATAATCGAACATCCTTTTTCTTTCTAAAATCATTGATAATTTGTATTTAATTTTTTTTATTCTATTTCTTTATCTTCATCCATGCGCTTAAAATATTGACTAATAATGAATTTTCGAATGAGATGGTGATATTTCTTTGTTTCGAACGAAAGAGAAATGACTGCTTTAAGGCATGAGAGGTTTTTTCTTCTCGATAGGAAATAATTAAATATTGTTATTTTTGGTCCCTAAATTCAAGGAATTTTATGTGCTTAAAAATGGATCTTAAATTAAATTAAATTAGAACTTGTAAGTTTCATTGCAAATATAACTAATTAATTGGCTAGGTACATATTTAGGGCGTTGTAGGGGTGCTAATCCTTCCCCGCACGTATTTGACTCTTGAACTTTAATTTTTTAGAACGCAGACCTAAAAATGTTGTTTTAATAAGATTAAAATTAAAATTTTTAAT